TTTTATTTTGCAATTTAGTTTGAACCCCAGCTTTATTGCCAGACATTACAGATGCACCATCAAAGTTAACATTTACAGATTTTGCATAGATATTATTATTTAAATATAAAACTTGATTCATTTTGTCTGTTGTTAAACTTTTTAAAACAAATTCTATTGCATTTAATATACCATCGGCATCAACTGTCAGCGGTGAGTTAATACCAGCAAATATAGTTAAAGGATTACCATTTTTAACAAACCTTAAAAATACTGTGAAGGTTCTCTCAATATTTAAAAATACAGGCTTTATGCCCACCATCTTTATTGTGGCATAACAAATATGTTCTTTTCCAAAATTTACATCCCATTGTTACTGAATTGGTTGCATTGCTAATATTTGAATACTTTTGGCAAACCCAGCAAGAGAAACACTCATTTGAATCTGAATACAGCTTAGTTGTTGCCCGTGTTTTTTATTGCTTGGCGACAATCCATTTACGGTGTTCCAAAACATAAATTCAATATCTTTTGGCCATATATCGAACTTTCATTAAGTCTTAGCAGAATCCAAGTCATTGCACTTTTTTTTTGCATGTTTAGTTTCTCTCTCTTCTTCTCCTTCACGTTTAATGCTACGCTCCTCTGTACCATCTTTCTTTAACATCGAAAAGATGCTTAGTTGTTTCGACATTTTTTTAAAAACTTTAAAAATAATAGTATATTAAGTATTTAGTAATAAGTTAATAAAAATATCATACTATTGGTGTTGTTAAACACACAATAAAAAAAATTAAAATTATAATAAACATAATAACTTTATATATTCTATTAGATTATGTATTTTTTAGCAAAACTTGAACATTATTTTTAAAACTTTTATAAGTTTTTTTAATATGCAAACTAATATTACTATACTTTAAAGAAAATTAAAAAAAAAAAAAAAAAAAACACGCTATTAAAAAAAGCAATTACATTTAAGCATGGTTTTTTTAAAAGTTTCAAATGCAGTCATTTTAAATAAAATTTTGAATGCTTTTTTAAATGCATGCAAAAACCATGCTCAAACTAATTACTTCATTCCATTTAAGGAAGTAGCTTTAGTGTGATTTCTTTTAAAGTCTATGAAAATGCGTTTAAAATTTTTGTAATTAATTGTTTTTTTGTGTTTTTGATAATAAATAAAAACGATCAATGGTTAAATACTTGAAAAAAAAAAAGGCCAATGTTTGCGTTAGGAAAAGAAAAGGAACATGACATTCATTTTTCTGTCTTTTTTTTGTGAAGACGTTCGCACGTTCATTGATTTTTTGCGCCCTGTAAACACGCAAATTGTTTTTAGGAATTTGATTTAAAAAGAAATCTATTTAAACAAAATGATTTTAGTATTTTAAAATTCTCTTATTCAAATAATTTTGCGATTGAAATTTGAAATTGAAAAAAAATAATTGGAAAGTTTCAAAAGAGTTTGAAGA